GATGGTGCCGCACTAGATATAACTCTGGTTAGGGCTGTCCTCGTCGCTGCCCTCACTTCCTGAGGCACTGGCGCTGTCCACGCCTGCCGCGGGCTCGTTGAGGACCACCACGTCAGCCTCCTCCCGGATGTCCTTGCCGAACCACACGGCCTTGTAGCCGCCCTCCCCCTCTGGCCGCCGCTCCTTGGTCAGGATAGATCTCACGGCTAAAGGACTGTCCCCAGCCTGCACGGTCTTAGGGGACCCAGGAGCTCTGAGCTCGGGGCTAGGAGGCGCGGAGCTGGGGGGCGTGAGACTGGACGACATGGGGCTCTGGGGCCCCGAGGGCGGCCGGGCGGTCTCCGGGTCCGGCTGTGGCTGCGGGTTGGAGGTGGACAACCAGCTGGCCTTGTGGTCTGGGAAGAAGGCCAGGTTGTCATAGACACTCAGCGGCGGCGGCGGCTTCTACAGGTGCAGCAAGAGCAGAGGCATAAGCGGCAGCGCAGTTACTCCCGCCAGTGCCTTCCTAACCCTCCTCGCACCCCTTGGCTCCCATGCTTCCCCTGCCTACCTCTGCTTCCTTTCCCCAGATGTTCACATTCATCCCTCCATGCCCCCCTTCTTTCTATGACTCCCCAGCCCTGCTGGGTTAGTCCTGTTTCTACTCTGCCTAGTCCAGTTCCCCACCGAGGCCCTTACCGAAACCTTGCCAGAGCAACAATTGAACCGGTGACGGTAGTGCTTATGGATGAGGATGCACAGGCAGATAAGGGCCAGCAACAAGAGCGCTCCTAGCACTCCGCCCAGCACTGCCATGTCCACTGTAGAAAATCGCTGGTCTTCTCCTTGTGTACCTGTCCAAGACACCATGACTTGACCACTTACTGCTGGAACACTCCCAAGCACTTCCCTGTATAACCTGGGCCAGCCTGAGGTACCATGAAAACATGACAGACATGGCCTGGCCCACCCACTAGAGCTGAGGTTCTGAGAACCGGTGCTAACTCCACCAGGGAGGCTGCTTGGGCATCTCAAGGCCCCTGATGGCATGGCCACCAGCTTCTGATACATCAGGATGGCCTTCAACGGCATGTTGTGAACAATTGAATGTGAGCTTTATCTTATGTGCCTTCAACTCCAATTTTGAATACATGTTGCACTTAGACCATAAGCAGGGTTCAGTGACACTTGACACAGTTTTTAGAGAACACTCGTGAGAAGTACCATGTAAAACTGCCACTGGTGACCATTCCTGTGGGACCCTAACTCTGTGTGGCCCCTTGTGATCCTGTACCCTGAAGAGCTGTGGGTACAGCTAAATGACCAGTACAAAAATCTTTCAGTGGGAACCTTGAGAATATGTGTGTGTGTGTGTGTGTGTGACTACGTGAGTGTATGTGTGTGTGTGTGGGGGGGGGTGTAACTACATGAGTGTATGTAAATATGTGTGTGAGAGTGTGTGTGTGTGTGTGTGTGTGAGTACATGAGTGTATGTATGTATGTGTGTGTGAGTGTGTGTGTGTGTGAGTACATAAGTGTATATATATGTGTGTGTGAGTGTGTGTGTGTGGGGTAACTATGTGAGTGTATGTATATATGTGTGTGTGAGAGTTGTGTGAGTACATGAGTGTATGTATATATGTGAGTGTGTGTGTGTGTGTGAGTACATGAGTGTATGTATATATGTGAGTGTGTGTGTGTGTGTGAATACATGAGTGTATGTATATATGTGTGTGTGTGTGTGTGTGAGTACATGAGTGTATGTATATATGTGTGTGTGTGTGTGTGTGAGTACATGAGTGTATGTATATATGTGTGTGAGTGTGTGTGTGTGAGTACATGAGTGTATGTATATATGTGAGTGTGTGTGCATGAGTGTATGTATATGTGTGTGTGTGTGTGTGAGTACATGAATGTATGTATATATGTGTGTGTGTGTATGTGAGTGTATGTATATATATATATGTGTGTGTGTGAGTGTGTGTGTGCGTGAATGTTTTAAGTTTATTTATGTAGTGTGTGTATTTGTGCTGGTGCTGAGTGGTATGGTTAGTACATGTTGTGGTCAGAGGACAACTTGCAGAAGTCAGTGTTCTTCTACTGTGTATGTGGGAAGGCCCTTCACCTGCTGACCCCCTTGCCAGTCCCCAGCTTATGTTTTAAGGCAGGACCAATCTCTTACTGACCTAGCACTGGCCATGGCTAAGCTATCTGGTCAGTGACCTGCAGGGTTATTCGTGTCTCTGGCTTCCCAACACTGGAATTGTAAGTGCACTCTCCTACGCTCAGCTGTTTTATGTGGGTTCTGGAACCAAATTCATGTCCTTGTGTCTGGAAGGCAACTACTTTACCAATAAGTCACCTCCTGAATCCTGATTGTGTGTGTTTTGTATTTTTTGTTTTGGTTTTTAGTAGTATTGCCTCAGTATGTTGCCCAGTCTAGCCCTGAATTCCTAGGCTCAGGTGATCCTCCTGCCTCAGTCTCTCCATTAGTTGGATCACAGGCATGTACCACTATATCCAGCCATAATTTTTTTCTTTTTCTTTTTCTTTTCTTTTTTTTTTTTTTTTGAGACAGGTTTCTCTGTGTAGCCCTGGCTATTATCCTGAAGCTAACTCCCTCTGTAGACCAGGCTGGCCTCAAACTTAGAGATCCACCTGTCTCTGCCTCCCAAATGCTGGGATTAAAGGTGTGTGCCACTATCACTGGCTCATAATTATGTTTTTAAAGATAGAGTCTCTGTGTGTAGCTGTGGCTGGATTGTAATTCACTATATAGACTAGGCTGACCTTGCACTCACAGAGATCTTCCTTTTACCACCTCCCTAGTGCTGCAATTAAAGGGATACATTAGCACACCCTGACAGCCATAAAATCTTAATTTTTATCTTGTATCTCCCTAATTATTGGAGTAGTGCTCCCACCCTAAGGCCCTAAAGATAGATTGTCCTGGGAATTATGGAACTCACTGGCTCCAAAATCTGCTTCTGTATCCCCATACCTTCTTCAGCTCACCCTATTCTGGCCCCTGGGGCCACATGTCTGGAACTAGACACATACTTTTGGAGGTGGTCAGTGTGGTAAGGCCAGAATACCTGGGTGGACCCTGTTCTGTCTGAACCTGTCTGACTCAAGGGTGATGGTGACTCCAGGGCAAAAAATGTGTGGACTACCTGAGGGTGAGGGACTCCTGGTGAGCACAGAGGCTGTCGGCTGAGAGGTTCCTGGTTTGGGGGTCTGTGTTGAGCCCCCACTGGGTGTGGCTGGCTGAGGAGTGGTAGTTGTTCTTGTAAGAGGGACCGTTGGCTGAGAGGTTCCTGGCTTGGGAGTCTGTGTGGAGCCCCCACTGGGTGTGGCTGGCTGAGGAGTGGTAGTTGTTCTTGTAATGGGAACCACTGGCTGAGAGGTTCCTGGCTTAGGGGCCTGTGTTGAGCCCCCACCTGGAGTGGCTGTCTCGGGGGAAGTGCTGATTCCAAGAGTAGGTATGGATGAGGCAGAGGCAGGTGGACTTAGAGTTGTGCCTGAGGGTGGAACTGGGCCAGTGCTTCCCCCAGAGCTGGTTGTGGCAGATCCTTGAGAGGTCCCCGAGGTTGTAAGGGTTTCCAAAGTGGTGCTACTTGAAGGCCCAGTTGTTCCTCCAGCTTCTGGGGGTGTGGGGGACTCTGGGGGTGGCATGGACAGAACTTTGGTTTGCCTCTGTCCCCAAATATGCCTGTTGCAGAGAAGGGGCCACCCTGCTTGGGGGCCCTGGGGCTCACCTGTGATGGGGGGCTCTTGCTCTGTCACTTGGATCTCAACAACAGTGGTGGCTGTGTCCATAGTCACAGTATTGGTAGCTTCTACCTGGATCACGAAAGGGGCTTGTTCCTTTTGGGTCCCTCTTTACCCCACACCTTTGGTCCCCTTATTCCCCACTCCACCTCTACATAGAAGGTGTCGACATGCTCCATAGCCACAGTGGTCAGCATGACATCCTCCTCCATCTTGAAATCTGAGGAGTTGGTGATTTGGTACGTGGTGGCCGAGTCGAGGTCCTAGGTGAGACTGCAGTGAGACCTGGGCCTGGGTGTCCTACTGTCCATCCCAAGCTGCCCAGACAGAGAACCAGAGTCCAGTCGTACTTAGAGAGTTTCTAGACAGTCAGGGAGGGACTGCATACCGGGAAGCCTGGGTACTGAGCCTGGATCCTCAGGATCTCAGAAGGGGAGGTCCTGTCCTTAACTTCTGTGCCAGCCTTAGAACCAAGCACCACTGTGCCATGGTACCGGTTCCGAGAGAACTGGAGTGGGGTCCCGGTGGCATTACCAGCATCCACGATGGCTTGAGTTATTGAGTAGCGGGCCATATCAACCTGATCAGCCTGGGGAGTCAGGGGAAATTGGAGTGAGCAATGAGACTTATTGGACCTAGGGCTGCAGCTGGGGCTGAAGGGAATGCAGGAGACCTATCTGTCATCCAGTACTGGTACCCACCCTGACCACCAGGGTGAAGGTCATGGGTCTGGGGATACTTTTGGCCATCGTGAGGTTGCCAGAATCTGCGTTGATGATAAATGTGTCATCCGTGTTTCCTGGGAGAATTTGGGATGGAATTTAGTGTCTGGTCCCTCTGTTGTAGGGCCCAGGTGCTATGGGACTAGCTCTCACTCACCTGCCACAATGCTGTAGATGATAGGCTGGTTAATGCCCTGATCTCCGTCCACCGCATAGATGGGACCAGGACTCAAGATGAGAGGGGATGGCTATGGAGATAGGGACATCTTGAGGTTGAACCAACCCAATTCTTACTCTTTTGTTGTCCCTCAAGGCTTGAAACATGAACTGGAGCATAGAGGAGGGGGCAGTGCCTGCTTGGGACAGAGCCTCGACCACAGCAGGACTCAGTGGCAACAAGAACTTAAGAAAGAAGACTCGCAGCCTCCATGTGTGACTCTCTGCACGGTGGAGGCTGTGGTAGCCTTGGCTGGACACCACCTGCCCTGTAGTCCCTCTGTCAGCTGGGCAAGGACATAGCAGTCCTTTATTAGCATCAGCCCAGCCTGAAGTCCTCACATCCCAGCCAACATCACAGGGTTCACACTCCTCACTGATTTTTGTCTGTATGTCCCCCACCTGAGGCTGGGATAGTTAATGAATGATTATTCATTCATATTAGTTTCAAAAAAAAATCACAAAATCACCTAAGCCTCTCAAGGATCACAGGACCACTGCTGGATCCCTACCCTGAACCCACTCTGACTTGGCTCTGGATTCAAGTCAGACCCAGGGCTTTCTTACTCCCCATTACCAGTGTGTATCCTATGGGGACCACCCCATGGTACTGGGCCTGGATGCATGAGTAGCCGTCTGAGAAGGAACAAGGCAGGAACCAGGGGGTCCGTAGGTCAGCTGGAAGCACGTTCAGGACCAGGGTGGCAGTGGCCGTGTGGCTGGGATTTTTATCTTTCTCCAAAGTATCCTGTAGTAACAGCCAGCTCTGACAGGTCAGGCCTACAATGTCTTGGACAGGGCCTGAATATCCAGGACTCAGGTAGCTGTGGTCTGCTTACCCGTGCCAGCAGCTTGAGGGTCATGCTCTGAATCTTGTAAAAATCCAGGGTCTTCTCCAGCCTCAGAGCAGGGTTGTTTTGCCCCACCAGGGAGAAGAAGCTGCTGGCGTCCTGACAAGGGGGGAGAGGGCACAACCTGAGACTCTGGAAGGTGGAGGGACTGAGGCCTGGAGGCATCAGAAGGGAGGGGTCGGTAATGAGTGGGAACAGGGGAAGCACTGACAGGGGTCACTTCCTGGAGAGTGTAAATTAGGGTGTCATCTTTGTCAGCATCTTTGGCCTCCAGTTCTGTCCCAGGGATGACGATTGAACCCACTCTGGTGTCCTGGGGATGGAGAAGAAGTTGATCCAGCCATGCTGTGGCTTCTGTATAGAAATCTCCCTGACGGTGTCCCCCAGACACCCCTCCATACTCAGGAGGCACCTGCTCGGGCTCCACTGGACTCACCTCTGCTACATCGTGTTTCTTGATTGTAAAGGGAAACTCCGGAGCATTGTCATTGACATCCTGGACAACCACGAACACCCTCAGCACTGTCACCTGCAGAAAAGTCACCAAGTCAAGCCCCGGGGAAGGAACGGCGCTCTGACCCCCCATCATTAATTCCTTCCTTCCTCATCAGTTCACTCAGCCACTCTTTTGCTCTTTCATTCAACAGACATGGGTGGCATCAACAACGGAGTGGCCTGTGGGCTCCTGTGCTAGGAGGAACTCAGACCATAAAAACTAAACTAAACCACATTTTAGAGTGTGGCAGCATGTGTGCGGTGAGTGTGCTGAGGAGATGTAAGGGTGAAGTATCAAAGAAAGAAAACTGTGAGCAGCCTCACAGCTTCAAAAACAGGTCTCCAAACGAATAGCAGAGAAAGGAGCCTTCAGGTTAAAATCAACCAGCTGTTTCCCAAGAGAGAGACCTTCCTGAGACCCAGGAGGAGAGGTGAACACAGCCAGGTGCTGAAGGACAGAGAAGAAAAGGCGCTATTCTCCAGTGACAGATATCAAGGCCATGGTTGCTCTGTCTCTGTCTCCTCCATCTCTCTGTCTGTCTGTGTCTCTCTGTGATGTGTATTTGTGCGTTAGGGGTGTAGTCCATGGCCTCAACCATACTAGGCAGATACTCTACTACTAAACTATTCCTATAAATGAAGGGTTTTGTTTTTGTTTTTGTTTTTTGCTTTTTGTTTTTTTGGGGGTGTTGTTTTGTTTTGTTTTGTTTGTTTGTTTTTTCGAGACAGGGTTTCTCTGTGGCTTTGTGCTTTTTGGGGGGGGGGTTGTTTCGTTTTGTTTTGTTTGTTTGTTTTTTTGAGACAGGGTTTCTCTGTGGCTTTGGAGGCTGTCCTGGAACTAGACCAGGCTGGTCTCGAACTCATAGAGATCCGTCTGCCTCTGGCTCCTGAGTGCTGGGATTAAAGGCGTGCGCCACCACTGCCGCTCCTGAGTGCTGGGATTAAAGGCGTGCACCACCACTGCCCAGCTATTATTTTTAAAATTTTTATCTGTCAGAGACATGGGCTGAGACATGTGTGGGTAACATGTCATGGGACAGGGTATTATTTTTAAAATTTTTATCTATCAGAGACATGGGCTGAGACATGTGTGGGTAACATGTCATGGGACAGGGTAGGAGTGCAGGGTGTGAGTTGCTCTTGGTGGAGCAGAAATTGTGTGGGGCCTGTTGTATCTGCAAGCTTCCTTTAGTGAAGGCTGTCATGTGGTATAGGCTGAGGGAGGTAGACAGGGCAGAGTAAGAGGGTTAGACATCCCCTGAGGAGATGACTTTTCCATGCTGACCTGGGCAGGCAGGTATAAGGTCTCCACTAGGCCAGTGTCTGCTTACCCTAGCCTTGCCTGCCCAGCTGAGAAATTAGCTTTCAGTTCCAGTAAGAAAATGTGGAAGTTTCTCTGTGAGGCTGGGCAGGGTCTGGTTATGACCCGAAAGGGACTCGATGCTGTAAAAGGGACTGAGGAGGGCCAGTGACAAGACAGCAGCAAGTGGATCTGCTAGAAGGGTCAGTTAGGAGATCTGTCCTTCACAGCCCCAAAAGGCTAAGTGGCTGGCTGGTGAAGTTGTCTCCCAGGCAAGGGGTAAGGGGCAGACTAGGGGGTCTCAGGGTGTTGACTTGTATGTAGCCCTAAATTAGCTGAATTTGAATCTGGAGTTCAGGGAAGTCTGGGCTCAAAGAAGTGTGGGAGTGGCCAGTAAGAGCTGATGTTCAGACTCCCTGTGGGGAGGTCCCAGAGGAGTGGTCTTGGGGTACTCTGACAGAGGGCAAGAGTGGACAGATAATGGGGTTGACTTACCACAGACTCTCCAGTCTTGCACTCCAGGACTGCCTCCAGCAATGGGTTTTCCTGAGGATGAAGCCAATGCCCTATGAATCACCTGTCCCACAGGAAGTGCAGTGACCTAGGCTAGGAGAGTGTGGCTAGGAGGGCCGGTACTTCTCCAGGGCCCCTGCCATCAGTGGCAAATCCTGGGTGTAGGGGGCATCTGGCAACTTTGTTCCCCAGTGGTCCTACCCCTCAGTACCGACCCACCAAGTACTGGACCCAAAGGGCTCCTCACTGTGTGGGGGACACAGAGCCAGTAACCCCTGTTCCCCTGAATCTTCTTCAGGCTAGGGGAGTGGATGCTCACCTATGTCTCATGGGGGCACATTCCATCCAGCCTACACATTGTACCTCATAATCTGGAATCGCGGTGAGAAATAGCTGATCGCCTGCAATCTTAAATGCAGAAGGAGTGGACGAGGATCCCAGGGACACCTGCTGACCGTTTGGGACAGAAATGTTTGCCAGTGGCTCAGAAACGTTCGTGTTCTCCTTGATTTCAAAATATTCCGAGGTCACAGAGCAGGCTAGAAAGTTGTAAAGGAGAAGTTGGTGCCTTCCACCCCAGCTCTGCTGCCTACCCATCCTGCCCCTGTCCAGCACATACCTTGGTTCTGGGCAGAGGTCCCTGGAGGTTGGCCAAACAGCACTATGATCAATGGCAGCAGCAGGGGAGGCCACAGGAGGGCCGGAGCCCCCATGGCGGCGGCTATCAGCTGGAAGAAGGGTCCAGCTGCCTTGTTCCAGGGCTGGTACAGTTCCTGCCTTGGCGACCTTCGCCCCTGCCAGGCACCGCCTCATTTTATGACCCTTTACTGATGGCCTCTACCAAGGGGGCTCCCGCTGGCCGGCACTAAGAGGGGACATGAGGTCACATTCCAGCCTGGATTTCCAGGAAGTGGGGACTCAAGCCGTAGACATTACACATGAGGTATAAAAATCCTGAGAACAACAGCAACAACAACAAAAAAATCCTGAGAACCACTGGGAGTGGGGCCTGGTAAATATAGGACAGACTGGGGCAACGGGTCTAAGGAGGCTGAGTCAGGGCCCAGGAGCTGAAACACGCCTGGGGAGCTGAGGTAGGAGGAGGGTGCTGAAGGAGGCCTGTCGGGGTGGAACCATAGGTCTGGGAGCTGCAGGAGGCTGGAGGGAGCTGGGACAGGGCTGGAGGGATAGAAATGGCTGGGGAGGAGCTGGGGCAGGGGCAGGGGAGCTAGAAAGGCTTAAGGTGGGTCTGGGGAGGAACTGGGGGGCACCTGGTGCAGGACTGGAGCACTGGTTCGGGCTGGGTGAGCTGGTATAGGACTAGGGGAACTGGAAGAGCTGGAGCAGGGCTGGGGAGCTGGGGGCAAGGACGGGATGTAGACTGTAACCCACATCAGGATAACCCTCATCTTGTCTCTTTCTCTCCAGTGTCCTTCAGCAAAATTCCTGAAGCCACATTATGTTGCCTCCCTTCTCTGTTCTATTCCCAAAGGAAAAGACTGTCCCAGCATGCTTCCTGTTGTCTGGGACACTCAGCAGTTCCCCCAGGATAGGGCCTGGCAGGACA